AATGGAATAAATAGTAACTTATGAATCTAATCATTTACTGTCTTTGGGAGAAAGACAGAAAAAAAGAATGTTGCTGACATAAACTGTTTCATGGAAGATATTTATTACTTATGATGATATTCTGGCAAAAAAAAAACAGCAAAAGAGAAAGTTTTCTTTTTCTTAATTGATCTTAAGACAAAATGGGCAAAGGATCTATCTACTAATTTGGGAACAGCAACCTGTTGATCACCAGTCCACAATGAAAATTACAGTTTCTACTTTTTCAAAGCCTAGTTAACTGGCTACGGCTGAATGCAGGGTTTGAAAATGTTCCTGGAAAACATGAAGGCAGCTCGATGTGGAACGGGCCTTTCATTCTCTAATATTGCTGTAAATACTTTGTCCAAATAACAAACATGCTAAGGTATATCCAGGGCTTTTTTTTTCTCAGAGAATAGATGCAGGAGCTCCCCCTTTCTAAGCCACTTCTTGTCTCCGCCCCCTACCCACCTCCAAGCACCATCCCTTGGTTCCACCCCCTACCCACCTCCCAGTGCTGCTCCTTTTAGAGAATATAGAGCCAAGTATAATTTTGTGGTGCTATGTAATGTGTATGGAATTTGTTAGTGATAACAAGAAAAGCAGTAAAATAGATCCCCCAAATTAGGGATATATATATATGCTAAATATTTGCTTCTGGCAGACATTGAACTTTTATCTACTGTATTAAACATGGATAGGCTGAGGCAGCTTGATTTTCTGAGTTTATTTCGGGGGAAGAATGGTTTGTTTAGATTATTCTGGTTTTATATTTTGTGCTTATTCTTTTTGTTTTTTTGTTTGTTTTGAAGTCTTATCTATAAAAAAAGAAAAAAAAACAATGTGTGGACAATGTTGTGGTTTGGGATCTGTACTTATCTCTTCTGTATGCATAGATATGTACTTCTTTTGTACTGCAATGTTGTAAACTGTTGTTCCCAATACTACCCCCTGTTGAAGATTGGGGTTATATGACTATGTATGTACATGTATCCAAACTTCAATAAAAAAAATCTGATTTAATAAAAAAAAAAATAGATCCCCCACAGCCAGCAGCAATAGACACCCCCCAGCAATAAGAGCCCCCCCCCCCCCCAGCAACAGTGGACCTCAAAACAAAATACCACCCCAGCAACTATAGACCCCATCAGCAGCCAGTACTGATAGACTCTCCAGCAGCCAGCAACAATGGACCCCTCTCCCAACAGTAGATCCCTTCCAGTAACAACTGACCCCGAAAACATACACTCCTTTCCTACCAGCAACAATAGACCTCCCCAGCAAATATAGACCATCATGCAAAAATAGATCCTGTCCAGCAACAATAGCTCTCCCAACAGCCAGCATCAATAGACCCTTCAGCACACTTCAGCATCCCTTGCCATTACATACATTCAGTACTAGAGGTGCTGGAACTGCACTCCCCCGTGTTCCCACCAAAAAAAGGCCCTGGGTATATTCTAAATTGAATTTGTTTTTGTTTCTGGTTGGGAACTTTAATATGCCCCTGCAAAACTAGTGAGCTGTAAAAACTTTGCAATAAACCACTGGAAAAGACTTTAATGGATTAATCTACCGCCCATCATTTCTATTTGATGCTAATGTCGCATGCATCATAATCCTATATCATCTTTCTACATGTTCATATGGCTGTCTAATTCTTTACTTGTAAACAGGAACAGTGGAACAGTGTTAGCCATTTTATGCAAATGCATGCAACTTGATGGTCTTTTATCGTTTTTGACCTTTTGTTCAACTGACTGTTTCCTTCATTATGAAGTATTTGCATATGGTCATGTAAAACAACAGAAGTTTGATTATTGTTTTTTAGATAGGAATATGTGATTCAATACAACTGCATTCCAGACTTTTCCAACTGGATAACCTTATTCAACTTAATCTAAATCAGCATGACTAGAACATTCATCTATAAGAAAAATATTTTTATTAACATAACAAGTGATCCTAATTAAAATCTGTCTGGTGGATGGAAATGAAATGTGTATTCAGTTTTCGTGTGGCAAATAATTATGGGAAAGTGACTTGCAATGAACGTATAACTGAAAGAGAAACAGATTAGCATATTTCATTAATAAAATGATTGCATTTCAGATTTATAAAAGCATACTTAATTGTTCTTTCCATTCTCCTGTGAAATTAAGGCTACTGAATTAGTCTTTATTAAATACTGCAAATTTTTAGTCATGTAACCTCAAGAACAAAACCCAAAACTTCACTATTACTGCTGAACATTGATCTTTGGCTTAACTTAACAAATTTTAGCCCAATGTGTAAAAAAATGTCAGTGTTACACAGTTTGAAAGAGTGTAGCCTGAGGATGGTAAACATTCACCCATCATTAAGCAGGATATTGAGCTAATTTTTGGCTGTCTTTTAATTAAACAGCCTCTGTAATGTACAGATTTTCTACAGAGTTCTATGACCTGAACAGAAAACAGACAGCAATCAAGGCTATTATCATGAATTAGATGATCATGCTGTAAACACCACAATAAACATACTCGGCAAGACCGCCACTGTTATTTGGATTAGCTTGTTATTGTCAGGTTGGGATATGCCCATAATTCTGGCCATAGACTGATTCATTTTTTTTTGGCTGATCTGAAGAATATGAGCATTGTATATAAAAAGGTATATCTAAGTATTTTTTTTTAATTCAGAGAGAGTATGAAGAGGTTAAAACCACTGCCAGTGAAGGACCAGTGACCTCACTGCCCTGCCTTTCCATCTTGTCCAATCAGAGAATGCTTTGCATTCATTCAGAAAAACATCATCTGGATGGTGCCTGTGCCAAGCACCCAACCTCTTGTGTTCACAATACAGCCCATATGCTCGACACAGGACTGTTGGATATTGCATATATATATATATATATATATGGTGTATATTCATGTTATTGACCAAAAGGATAACCAAGGACTCCTTACTATGTTAATTTATGCACAAGGTAATTACCTTACCTTTGTTTTGTTGGGTCAACCTGTTTTTGGATAAATATGTGGAGTGTCAGGAGGAGTTTCAGAGCAGCTTATTTGCAAAACTACCAGCATTATAAAATGCAAGTTTGTCTGATTAGATTTGGAAAGGTCTTAAATATTCATAGTGTAATTGTTTATGGTGAAGAGAATTTCAATGTGGGTGTCATGTCCACCTTTGTACAAGGATGTTAAGAATTGCAGTTTTACCATAAACAAGACAAGTAGTATCTATTTAACTTTGTAATTAAAATCTATGCATACAGCTGTTCTAGGTCTAGACACTTTGTTTGAAACACATATGATCAAACATGCTCATAAAACCAACCTATCAGATTGCTCAACACTTTGGTCAATGGGAAAAGGTGTATTTTACGGAAGTTTTTTTGGTTGAGTTGTGACAGGAGAAAGTGGGGTCAGGAGAAAGTGTGACAGGAGAAAGTGGGCTCTCTGAAGGTGTCTGATGATTGCACTAATATTCTAAGTACCCTGTCATCTACCTTGTCTGTACCTCTGTTTTATGGATTGTCTCTGAGCTGATTAAATGCACCTCTCTGAAAAAGAACTGTTGGACTAGTTGCTGCGGGAAAATACATTTATACATACACTTGTCATCTTCCGTGTGTGATAGAAGACAACAAGGACCCATAAGCAAGTGGAGATCATTTGATTAGTGATGTCTTTGTCAGTGAATTTCAGCTTCCAGGGGCATTGATCAGGTATGGTATATACAATACATAGTCACAGTACATTGCTCCAAGCTGGAACAATAACTATGTGTAATATAGCCATCCCTGGAATTCTTCTTTAAACTATATGTAAACCTTTTTGGTAGTAAGGAAAGATTGAAATCTGTATCAGGTCTTTCTAGCCATTCATGTCCCATTATGGTGATATCTCTTCCATTCGTATCCCTTTGGTGGAACAAGAAATGTATGCAAATCTTTCCAATGTAGAGTTGACAGTTGTCACCAGAAAATGTGTCCCAATTTCAAGATTTTAACCCTATTACTGCTCCTATTCCTGTTTTCCCCAATTTACATTCCAGTGACAAAGGTCACCTAGACAAGTAGAGAGAGTTAATCTTTTAAGCAGGGAAACAGAATGATGTTTTAACTCTGATCCATTCTATCCAAAACAAAAAAAAGAAGCAAGGTTTGGCTTCCGCTACACTTTAGGTGGTTTAATGATAGTGAACATAACAAAAGCACTGAACTGGTATTTTTAGGCAATAGCAACAGGAATGTAAATATAAGCTGTTGTTGGGGATGGTATAGAGAAATCACTGGGTCACTTTAAAGCAAACTTCCTCTTTGCTTGGACTTGGTAAAGTACAGGATTTCTTGCTATATGGGACAACAAGAAGTTATACTTAATTTCCCCACACTGAATATAGGAATCCCTGTATGGGTACTTTGTTTGTTGTGCAGGGGTAATATGGTATGAGATCACAGGGTCCTGATGTTGTATTAGCTATTAAGTTCTACTCAGGAAAATGTTTTTTAATTACTTTTTTCTAGACAGATTTAAGATATAAACAAAGACTGCATCAAAAATCTACCTGATTGTTCTAAATATCAATACTTTTAACCCATCTAGCTTTCCAGTGGCATACATTTGATAAAGTATTTAACCTACTGTACACAAAAGAAGGTACTTGTATACAGCAGTTGATATATATTGTTTGTTTCTGATTACAGAGATAGGGAATTCAAGTCAGCTGATCTGGCAACTAAGCTCATCCATTTTGGCACAGGATAATATTTTATATCACTTAAATATACTGTATGCTTGCACATCCGCCTGATCAACAGATGATCATGCATGGTATGTAATCTGGATGGCTATATATACTGTATACTATATTGCTATATACTATATATACTGTATACTATATTGGGACACCCCTCCAAATCATTGCATTCAGGTGTTCCAGGCTCCTCCATGCCTACAGGTGTATGAAATTAAGCACCGAGGCACACAAACTACTTCTACAATTGTGAAAGAATGAGTCACTCTCAGTAGCTCAGAGAATTCAAGTGTGGTACCGTGATAGGTTGCTACCTGTGCAATAAGTCCATCCGTGACATTTCCTTGCTACTAAATATTCCACGGTCAACTGTTAGAGGTATTATAACAAAGTGGAAGCAGCTTGGAACAACAGCAACTCATCCACGAAGTGGTAGGCCATGTAAAATTACAGAGCAGGCTCAGAGCATGCTGAAGCGCACAGTGTGCAGAAATTACCAACTGTCTGCAGAGTCAATAGCTAAAGACCTCCAAACTTCATGTGGTCTTCAGATTAGCACAACAACAGTGCATAGAGAGCTTCATGGAATGGGTTTCTATGGTCGAGCAGCTGCATCTAAGCCTTACATCACCACGTGCAATGAAAAGCGTTGGATGCAGTGGACTCTAGAGCAGTGGAGATGTGTTCTCTGGAGTGATGAATCACACTTCGTCACTGTCGCGCAATCCAATGGATGTGTCAGGTTTTGTCCATTGCCAGGAGAATGGTACTTGCCTGATTGCACTGTGCCAAGTGTAAAGTTTAGTGGAGAGGGGATTGTGGTGTGGGGTTATTTTTCAGAGGGTTGGGATTAGCCCCTTAGTTCCAGTGAAGGGAACTGTTAAGGCATCAGCATACCAAGACATTTTGGACAATTTCATGCTTCAAACTTTGTGGGAAGAGTTTGGGGATGGCCCCTTCCTGCTCCAACATGACTGCATACCAATGCACAAAGCAAGGCCCATAAAGACATGGATGAGCGAGTTTGGGGTGGAGGAACTTGACTGGCCTGCACCAAGTCCTGACCTCAACCCGAAAGAACACCTTTGAATTATATTAGAGACTACAAGCCAGGCCTTCTCGTCTGACATCAGTGCCTGACCTCACAATTGCACTTCTGAAAGAAAGGTCAAGCATTCCCATAGACACACTCCTAAACTTTGTGGACAGCCTTCCCCGAAGAGTGGAAGCTGTTATAGCTGTACAAAGTGGGGCAATATTGAACCCTGTGGACTCAGACTGGGATGCCATTAAAGTTCATGTGCATGTAAAGACAGGTGTCCCAATACTTTTGACAATATGGTGTGTGTGTATGTATATATATATATATATATATATATATATATATATATATATATATATATATATATATTGTGGGACCTAGCATCAAGGGTAGAGTCTTTTAAAGCACACAGCCACTAACTTTCTTCTGTTTTAAGGGCCTTTTATCCGACTTTTATTTAAAGGAAAGTTCCATACCATATGTTTCCCACACAGGGGTATCCACCACCAAAACAAATTAAACCAATATTCAGCCTCCTGGCTCTCTCAGGTATACAGCCCCTGGCTGCTCTGGCTCTCACCTCTCCTAGGTGGAGCCCTCCTGACTCGTGGACAATGACCTCCTGTCTGCCGTGGTGGAGCGCAGAACCCTGGTCCTTACTCTAGAAGAGCCACACACACCTGACCAATCAGTCTCCTGGCCATTCCCAAAACCTGGTCCGAGGATTGGAGATTTCATCCCTCACAAATCACTTTTGCCATTTCCCAAAATGGACTTTACGAACAAATAAGGAAAGTGAAAAGCCACTTTCCTCTGCATCAAACAAGTACCCTGGAGCTCCTCAACCTGCCTTGTTGAGAATCCCAGGTGAAATATCCTTTTTATGTCATGACAGATATACTGTACATATACAGTTCCCCCTGTCTAGTGAACAAAAAGTAGGAACTTTTCCTGCTTATGACTGGACAATTGCAATAAAGGTTCACTTTAGTTTACAATAGTAAATCAACAATCGTGTGCAAAGCCATGTTGATCAACTATTTTCCGTAAAATCATGAGCTGAGTTGAAAACCATGAGTTAGTTTCTATTGTTTTCCTTAAATAGGTCCTAGAGTCTGTATACTGCCTGACCAGTTCATGAACATGCATGCTCAGGAGATTTGAATGAATTTTATACACCAATCATCATAAAAGACATCTGCCTTCTTCTAAATCCAATTTCCTGAGCTTCTGGCATTTTTTTTCTCTCTTTTTGACCTCTGCAGTTTCCACAGTAAGCGTTTTTAAAAAATCCAGCTTTTTTTCCAATTCCCATAGCACTCATTTTGATGTTTCAAGTAAACACAGGTGCACTTCACTTCACATCACTTCACTTCACATGAACAATTCACATGGACACTTGACTTCATTTTCCGTGTCCATTGTACACATAGACAAACATGGAAAGGGAATACTCAGTGTATAGGAAAATGCTATAGTTAATAATTCTTAGACTCAGAAGCTTCTCAGCTTTTATGCACTTGGCTACAGCCTACTTCTACAGTAGTAAAGCAACGCTCTCCAGAGATGTGTTGCAGTACTGTTTTTCTAAAGCTTGCTACATAAGTAGTAATATAGCCAGCCTAATCGTTATGTTATTGGTCCCATTAACAAAGCATTAATTAAACTGGCTGGCATAACTTTTAATTATAAAACAAGGCTGTTTAATTTTGGGATAATATATTAACAGTGAACTTGCCTTGCTATACCTGTACACAGAGTGGATGTATCTTTTATTTTTTGGCTCTAAGAAGGGTTTTACTTATAATGTATGTAAATCAAGAGTACTTTATCACAACACAATAAGTATTTTGCTCTTGATTCTGGACAAGACAATGATTTAATAATAGATAATTATGCTTGGTGAGCTAGGCAGAATAATATGCCTAAGAGGAAGCAAAACTGTCAAATTATAGTGGTTTTTGTTCATAAATCTAAAAATACAACCATCAAAAGATGTTTACTTTATCATAAAACAATTCACTGTTGAGGGGTTGGCATGTTGTATAAGGTCCTAATATTTCATCACCAGTAGACCATCTGAGCAGTCCTGGTCGTCATTAATAATTCACCCCTAACACTTGCACAAGATACTTTACATTCTTTACTGATGAAAATGAACTTAGTTCACTTCCAATAGAAATGTTTTTATTACCGGCAGCAATATAGGAGACAGCCTGAAACCGTTATACACTTTAAGCCATAGTTAAGCCTTTAGATCCCATTCACACTTGTGAGACTTGTTCTGTGACTTTGGACATCAAAGTTGCATGACAAGTTGTACCCCATGTTTTTCAATTATAACTATTCATATATGTGCAACTTGAAGTTGCAGCAACTTCAAAGTATTTCATGCACTACTTTGGTCTGAGTTTTATGCGACTTCAATGTTAACCCTCAAAAGTTCCATGAAAGTCGGACCTCAGTGTTTTACATACAACAGTGTGCAACAGTGGGTTCGACTTTGTAGAGGGACAAGTCACAGCCAAGTCACACCCATCAAAGTTGTGTCAAAGTTGCATCAAAGTTGCACCCCAAAGTAGCGCAACTTTGGAGTCATACAAGTGTGAATGGAGCCTTATTAATTTTTAGAATAATTGGAGACTCAATGGCAAACACTACATTTCATTGTAATAGACCTACAAATTAACCATTTTTGTATCTATAAGCAATATTTTATTGATATATTCCACATATTTACATACATATTGTTCGAGAGTAGAGCTAAGCTACTTGTTAGGAGGTTCAGCAAGCAGAGAATTGAAGAATTGGCTGATTTGTGCAGTGAAACATTTAGCAGATGTATTGTTACTGCTGGTAAATGTGACAGCTTCCCTTCAAGCTGGCTGTTGGCAGCTGGTATCTTACAAACCATGACTCATCCTTACCCAGCCCCATATAAACAAAGGTTTGTGTAATAAAAAAAAAATCAGCATGCCCCCCGCCCCCCAAAATATTTCTTCCAGATCCTTCAGGTAAGGTATGGATTTAATGGAGATAAAAAAAACAGTGTGTGGTCCCATCCAATATCCATACTAGACACAGGACAAGGGACTCTTCCCCACAACCCCGGCCCAGTAATATTGTTGTGATTGTCAGGAGTAGGAGAACTTGTTTTTGGTTGTTCTTTGGTGGTACGTTAAGGAAATAGCTAGAAATATGCAGCTTTTTTTTTTTACTATTTTTAAGTGTTCTTGCATGGTAAGACCACTTACTGTTATCTCACATATATATTCTTATTATTATAGCCAAATTTACCACCCTAACTCCTCCCACAGTTTTTACACTACATAGACAGTAATATACCGAAACGTGTGGATTGTTCCCGATTGGTGTGCTATTACTTTGTGGAACATTTCGCCGAATGGTTCATGAAATATCAGCGTTTTTGTGGTGAAATTGGTCCCATAGGAATGAATGGCGGAATGTTCAAAACTAGAGTGGGAGCTGACAAAACTAGAGTGTGAGCTGAAAAATCAGGACATAATTTCTAAACTGCCATCACTCCCTCATTTTCAAGCCCACCTACACAAATCTTATATCAAAACGTTCAGCTATCCCTGTTGCCACTAAAAATGTCCACGGCTAAGCCATAGTCCTGATAGTTTTAACAATATGACCATTTGTTTGTAACTCACGCCGCCCATTGACATTAATTGAAACTCCACTCTAGCCACCTCAAATTTGAAGGGCAATTTCTAAACTGCGACTGTGCCTTCATTTTTAATATTTCAGAGACATACTATGCATCAAAATGTAGGTCTGGGTCTTGTGATTCTCACAATATAAGAATAATGGTGTAGGATTTAGAATTTTTAAACTACAGCCTTTTGAAGATGGCAACCGCCAGTGAAGTGAGCAAGTTGGAGCAGTTTTTTAACTGCTCTTCTCTGGCCTTGCTGTAGAGTGAGCTGCCATAGGAACCCACTCCACCCAGTTACTCCGTCCACTCCAGTTGTAGACTACTGGTGGAGGCAAGAACACTTCACACAATTTCCCCAGAAATTGTAGCTTTTCTAGTTTACTATGTTGTCCCAGTTTTCCTTTCATAGTAAACGTCAGGCAATATCTATTACTATTTAACAACAAATACTATCACAATTTATACTGAAAAGAAAAACAAGGTATAATTTACCTGTATACTACAAGTAGTTGCTATGATATGTACAGTTTCAGTAACACATGTCAAAGTTGCAAAAGTGCACTCAGACATTAGGTTTTGTTTTACCTTCATCATGAAGCAGTTAAATGAATTTTAATAAAAAGTGTGCTTATTTACTGTTTAATTTGTATGTGAATGAATACGGTACTATGTATTCTTACATCCTCATCTTGATAAGCCCCTCCCCACAGACCTCCCTCTCAACTACATGATAAGGTACTCCCCACGTTGAGGACAGGTGCCCTGGCACTGTTAAGCAGGAGGGTGCACCATCATCCCCTCTTTCCCAGGCTGCTTGTTCAGATATGCAACTGGTATAAAGTTTGGGAGATCTCATGCTTTTTTTTTATTTATGTGCAGTTTTCCTTTTAAAATTCATACCAGGCCCTCACTGAGGATAAGGTTCTGATATATATGTTTAGGAGGAT